GGAGTTCCCTGGGTGGCGCAAATGGTTAAGCCCTCAACTTCTAGCCAAAAGGTTGGCGATTCTAACCTGCCCAAATGCACCTTGGAAGACAGACCTGGTGATCTGCTTCTGAAAAGTCACAACCATCGAAAGCCCTATAGAGGACTTCTGCTCTGCACACATGGGATCGCCAAGAATCGGGATCAACTTGACAGCAGCTAACAACAACAACAGCAACATATTTTGAAATAAGAAACATACAATACTCAATTGTTTCTAAACAAAGAAGTAACGTTCTTTATCATGAACTTGCCACAATTTACCAATCTGTTATCCCATTGTCTCATGGCTCCAACCCCCACCCCACTTGAAGAGAAGGGACAAAAGAAAGGGCTGTGAGACACCTAACCAGGGCAGGACTGAAGCAGTGAAGAGAGTCATTCATACACAAACATATAGTGAGCACCCACTATCTGCTGGGCATTAGTCTAGACACTGGGGAATGGAAACAACTAAGGTTAACACTCCCCATAAATTGTGCCTTCCAAATCCATTACTAGCTGTAATCTGGTTGATCTGAAGCCAGTGCTCTGATCCACTCAGATATTTGCACATGGAATATTTCACTGAGGACAACACCAGAGCAGTTTTTGCCAGAAGGCAGTCCACAGTTGACTGCCTAAGAGTTACCTAGGGAGCATGCTAAAAACACAGGTTCCCTGGCCCCACTCCTGGACATTTGACCTAATTCATTATTAGGTCAGGATGGGACCCAGTTTGTTTTTAACAAACTCCCCAGGTGATTCTCACGTGCAGCCAAGTTTGGATGATTTCATAGATTCCTTCCAGGTTGAAAATCATTTATGATCTCCAATAAATGGTCTTCTGATATTTGGTTAAACCTCTCTTTACTTGGATAGACAGTTCGTTTTTTATTCTTTTATTAGATTAAATTCTGCCTGTGCCTCCCATTGGCAGAGCCAGAAGGCCAGGGAGATGCAGTCCCATGGGTCAGCCAGCAGGCACAGGGCAGTGTGGGAGTGCACCGTGGGTCTGGAGGAACAAAGTACCCTGCCCTCCTCAGAACAGTCTACTAGAGCTCCTTACATGTCTTCTTTAGACTAAACATCTCCAACAACTATGTATATTTTCTCACATAAAGTAAAATCATGTTTCTGAAAGTGATTTAAAGTTCAAAGGGTTTTTACTCTACTGTGTATCCAATGTTTCCTTTTAAAGTTTCTTAGTGAAAGTTATTTCATTTTTTTAACTCCAAATTTGTCTTGCAGAAATGTATAGGTAACGCAGGATTTCCCACATCAGGATCAAGATAGAGGCTGAGTTTGCGCTCAGCTGTGCAGTGCTCTGATTGCCTTTTCTTCCCTCAGAGGTCCCTTCTAGGAGGATGTAGCAGCAGTTGATCTAAGCCCCTCCCATTCCCCCAAACAGAAACTTCCTTTTGACTCTCCAGGGGATCAAGCCTCCTTGGTCCACACGGGCTCAGTGAATTCTTCCATCTTCTCACTCAACCTCTTTACTCTACTTCTTTACCCAGCAACAAATACATTGACTCAGAGAATTTCTCTGATTGGCTGAATATAGCAGGGGTCTCCCCCTGTTCTAGAATATGTTTTCTTCCTCTTTACCTCTGCCTGTTCCTTTATCCCCGCACAGACCGAGACTTATTTAGTTATAGCACCAAAAGGCAATGGTCCTCAGTGGGGTGTTAACCGTGGGTCTCCACATCTTGATGACTCTCCCGAGCCCTCAGGAAGCAGGGGCCATCCAAGGTGAGTGCTGAGGGCAACTGGGGGAAGAGAGGAGATTTAGGGAGTTGGCTTACATGGAGACAGTATAGAGGATGAATTTGTTCCTATTTCTCCTTCTGGTTTATAGATAACTTTCTTCACCAAGTGATCCCCAAACCCATCACCTCTAGCATATCTCTTCTGGACCTAACATATAGGTGCTGCTCAGTCCAGCCATGCCAGTATCTCCTTCAGGCTTTGTTCAAGTTCAGCTTCCTCCTTTCTGAGACCCAAACCTCCACCCTACTGCTGCCCAAGGCCCCAGTTTCTCTACCACTTCCTGGCTTGAAGTATGCCCTTTGAAGTCCAAATCTATTGCAGTAGCTATCACAATGTCATAGTTAACGGATTATGAGTCTTTATCCTACTCTAGTCGTGAGTTTCTTGTGCTCAGGGTCCACAGCTTGTTCATCTTTGTTTGGGGCCTGGCGTCATGCTAGGCACCGGTAGTCCCTCAATGACTGTTGAACAAATAATTTCATAAAATTCCAAAGGAATCTTACCAATCAAAACCTAACTCTTAATTTCCAGAAAACCACGCCTCAGTTATGGGAAGAAACATGTTCAGTCATAACCTCTGAGATGAAAGAACTGGGACACGAACCCTGAGTTTCTGACTCCTTGTCCAGTGCTGTTTGCAATACCTCGAGCTGCCTTTTTCTATCCCCTTGGTCTCTGCGTCACAATCTTAATTCTTGCTCCTGCCAGTCATTGCCCATTTCCCCTCACACCCACCTACACTGCTTTTCTGTCCCCAAAGCTCCACTTACGCTCCTGTCCTTGATCTTATTCTCCTCTTGCCACCTCCACACCCACCATCTCACACACAGGGCCAAATAACACAGCTAGAGAAGATGGTCATAGCCAAGAGTTAATTTCGGGAATCCCATGCATGGTTTTAGGCAGCCTCTCCTCTTCCCACCCTCTGGATATACCAGACTAGACCTGTGTCTTTGTGTGGCCCACGGTGTGTTGAGTATGTCCCCTCCCCTCCTCTGTCTTTCATCTTCCAGCAACCCTTATGCACTCCAAGGGCCAGCTCAGGGTCAGAATAGGGCTCTGTCCCACACAGAACCCCGGATGGGCACAGGCTCAGACACTCAACATATTGCCTTGTAAGGATGGTAGATGCAATACATTTTCTTCTCTCTCCCTGACCCTGAACTCTCCCAATACAGCTGACCACATGGGCTCCTACGGACCAGCCTTCTACCAGTCTTACGGTGCCTCGGGTCAGTTCACCCATGAATTTGATGGGGAGCAACTCTTCTCTGTGGACCTGAAGACAAAGGAGGCTGTGTGGCGCCTGCCTGAGTTTGGCAACTTTGCTCACTTTGACCCGCAGGGTGGGCTGGTCAGCATCGCTCTGATCAAAGCCCATCTGGATGCCTTGGTGGAACGCTCCAATCGCACCAGAGCCACCAACGGTAACTTGTTCCTCCTCTGTCTCACCCAGTCAGGCGGGAGTGTCCAGAGGAGCTGCATTCTACCTCATAGCCTCCATCCTTTCTCTGACACACCACTGTCTCAGAATCCATGACTGTTGTCCTCAGCCCCTTTC